GCGCTCCTCCCCCCCCCCTCCCGTGGTGTATGCTATATGGCGGTATGTACGATTCTTTATCTATAGACAGAAAATTTTTCATTCAAATTCACGATCGCCATCACAAACTCATTCTGCGACCGACATGCCCGTTTTGACTTAAATGCTATTTCTTTATTTTACGAATTAGATTTTAGGTGTTATGCTTATCGAGAAATACGGACTATATCTTAGTGACATACTTCGTACATACACACAATGTGTTGCACTTACGTTCAGCTTTAATTCTACCTTTGCATACACTCACGGTACTTGATTTAATTTATGTATATCTGTAATTTTTAATGCGCATATTATATATACGAGTAAAGATAAAATATATATTTTGCATTTTGCTTCTCCCAGTTAATACTATATGGATTTCACTTCTCGCGTTATATTTATATATATATATATATATATTTATATACTTTTAATCTAAGCAATAGTTTGCTATTCGATAGATACAAAATTTCATTTTTCTTTAATTGTGTTTGCATTCACGGCGATCGCTCACGACGATTACTTTTATAGCATCGACACATCCATCATATTTTTTTTAATGTTATTTTTATTTAAACGTTAATATTATTTTATTGCACACTATTTGACTTTCTTACACGTTACACAACCGAGTCGGATGTTCATATAAAGAATCTTCGACTTATATGATCGGTATTATATATATACGTCTCAAATTTGAGTTGCAAACATATACATTTACCATAATTTCGACAAAAAGAGTAATGTGAGAGAATAGCAACTCGTAAGAAGAATAATAATCTCATAATACATTTCCTTTCTCCTTCTACGTGTCTCGAAATAAAATTTTCAATTAAATCAGCATCTCAAGCGCATGAATTTTTTTTAGAACGTTGGTCACAGTAATGTAACACGTGATATTATAGTCAAAGGGTAAGAAATACCTTCTTTGTGTCTCGCAAACTCGCATTCCTTTACTATACAAATATTATTATGTGTTCCACATCGATCGTATGCGGATCAATGTACAATTTGGAGTTTACATGTCATTTACCCCCGCAATAAAATATTCGTTTCGATCGTGAAAGGTTGCACGTCTACGTCTAAATCATTTATCGGCGATATAAACGTGTTTTCTGCTGAAAAAAATCAAAGGCGCAAATTTTTCTACAACTTAAAAAAGTCTCATAAATGACTATAATGTCTCTATATAAAAACAAGTTGCGTAAAATCGTAAAATCGAATAACAAAATATAATGAAAGGGATGTTTCTCTCATTAGACCATGATTGACTACGTTACGCGAGCATATAAAAAAAAAAACAAACACGCGCGGCAGCGAGCGACCGCCGCGGATTTTTCGCTTCACACACTTCGTTGCTCCTCAAGGACAAAGGGTTTTACATAAATAAATCTCTCGAGAAGGAAAGGCTGGTCAATCGACGCGCGCGAACGCGAGCTAGACCATGTATTACGTATTACAGTTATACACGTTTACGTCACTCACTCCCTTCGCCACTTTTCTTCCCATTTTTTTTTTTATAAATGCAAAAAATGGTAAGGAGTTGATTTATGCAGCGAGACTTAGAAGACTGACCACCTTTGGACATTTTCGATCGCTGTTCGTATATAGCACGCAGTTATCAATATCGTTTATTACGTATATCATTAATTGTCGTGTGTATGTGTGGATGTGTATGTGGGTGTGTATACAAGATATACACTAAATAATTATGTCGCGCGCGAATCTAAGTTTACAACACAGCACAGAATTCGCCGCGGCGGAATATATCGGCTCGTTTTCCCGGTTGGATCTCCCGATACGGCGTAATCGAATCAATTCATCGAACCAGATCAGACGATCAAGTTGACGAGTGCTCTGATACCGCTTGCCACGCTTAACGCGCTTGTTTCAATACAAATTGGCAAATTGGACTTGCTAATCACATATTTCCCGCGTGCGCGTATAATGTTCTATCACGTAGAAATTAGATAGAAGTATTTCGGATTATTATACACACAGAATAAGCACACAATAATAATTAACATCTTTCATATTTTTGAAATTATACGAGAAAAATTTGTTGAACAAAAGTATCGCGTTGCATAGAACACAAGTACGATAATGATGTTTTATTTATGGCTGGAGTTGCTTAGAAAATATAAAAATCATCTGTATTTTTTTATATGAGAATATTTAATTCATATATATAGGTATATGTCTGTATATATATCAAAATAAAATTCCATAAAAAATCAATACTTTACGAGATATTTCATGATTTATTGTAAGATAGTATGACATATAAATATGTAAAATCTCGCGTAAAGTATAAATAGAAATTTTGTAGAAAACAATTTATAAAAGGCGCATTATATATGTATGTCACCAAAAAAAAATTTTTTAATTTTTTCACATACAGTGTATAAAAATTTTCAAAAAATGAAATGTAATTATGTGTGCGTTTAAATCATAATATATATCAAAATATATGACTTATATGTTGCAGAATCTACGTAACCGAAAAATTGTCATTGGTTAAATTATATTGTTAGCTTGAAGCCACTATTAAGGTGCCAAGCGGTTTCATGCCGATAGCATCCTCTCCTCTCTATTCCGAAAACATACTACACTATGTATTACAACACTTGGTAACTTAGCGTCATGTCGCGCGGAGCAAGAGTAAATTTTCGCGATAACTACTAATTGTAAGAAATGAATTGTCACATTCTTTGAGTTATTTGCTCTTACTGTTTAGCAGAGCAAAAAGGAAGAATTGCGACGAATATGAGTATATTACTGCATCTGCTTTCAAAGTAATTCTAAAGAAAATAATTTATTCGAGATCACACTGCGTGTCCGACATTATAAAAGATATTGTACATTATGCTACATCCATTTATACATTTTAGAAATTCATTATCAAATATATAAAAAATATCATAATATATAATATTATAATATTAATTATTTTTCGTAAAAGAGCCTTCAAATTTATTTAATAAACTAAAATACATAAACTAATAATTTTTGAGCTCGCTGAGAGAAATATTAGAAAATACCCAAATTAAATATGACTGTTCTAAATTCTCAAAAATAAAGTGAAAATGTTCGAACATCTTTCTCTAGACGGACATGCTCTTTAGCTACAAGAAAACTGCTTATATACACATTATATTCGTCATTTTGAGCAATATGCGTGATAGGAACAAATTTTTTTTCAACTATCGGTCATAAATGTGTATTAGCTATCTTTCAAAATCCCGTGCAACTATATTAATAATACATGGAAATAACAATACACGAAAATGTATTCTTCGTAATCATCCCGTCAAAATTTGCTCGAAGCTTACTGGTTTTATTAAACGCGAATACGCAATTTAACGAGAGACAAAATAACGTAATCGATAATATCATTAGCAATCTTTGTCAAAACTAACCTTGCGATGACGCTGATGAAGAAACGTCAAGTGACTCTGCTCCGCCGAAGGGCGCTGTTTTTTTCAAACTCACTCATCATTCAACACTGTAATCCGTTTCAGCCACGGTCATTCTATCGCCTTTTCCCCATACAACATGTCAAAACGTCGTCATAATCCTTATACATTTATACATCAAATTCACTGGTTTCCAATATAATTAGTTTTGCACACACTTGTATCACTGTTATCAGGATTGAACTCTCTCTTCGTGATTTTCTTCTTCCGTTTCCACCACACTGTGTATTTACTGTCCATCTCTGTCGTATGCCGCTGTTTACTCGAACCCTTTCTCGAATTTTATCAAAACACGTTCGAAGATCACACTTGGCACGAATCATAAATATTCTTGTCGGAGCCACCGCGGTACTAAAGAAAAATCTATCTAAACAATCCTCTAAAAAACACTATATATAAACCGCTTATCTACCGCTAAATACAGACGCGACGGACATCTTCGTACTGCTACTCTACTAATCGTCCTACGACTCTACTTGTGTTTACGATGTAAGAGAATAAATAATAAAATGCTCTCCCTAAAAGATTTCAACGCTGCTTTTTTTTCTCTATCATCCTCGCAATCATATTCGCGCGTCTCATTCTTTCGACAATTTTAAACCCTTATACCTATCACTCTTGACATACTACCACGTTTTCTCACACGCTCTACTCGTATTACTACACTTGTATTACTGATCACTCGCTCTCCCATGATTTTACATTAAACTACGTACATCTTCATCCCCATATATATATATATATAAGGTCTTCTCTCCTCTCGTTAGGATGCCAGTTTTATCCCATCGGAGAGTATCTGAAATTTGTAAGGGTACCGGAGAATCTGGCAATAGGAACTGAAATCCTTTCGTTTGAAGCCCATCCGAGAGATCGACTCGTTATTACGTCGGTCGACAAGGTACATATCGCAATTTTGTTGTGTGTATTAACTTTCCTTTTACATCTACAGGGTGTCCCAGAATTAGACTGACAAACTTTAAGTGGTTATAAAAGATATCAAAACAAGCCAATTTTGCCAATAAACCCGTGTCCGCAAATGAGTCGTTTTGCCATTAGAGAATCAAAGACTAACAAGGACAAAAATCTTTGAAAGAAATCATTTTTTTTTAATTTTTTAAATGTGGTTAAATAGAGCTGTTTTACTATGAAACTTTTGTATATATATATATATTGTATATATATATATGTTTATAGGTTTTAGTACAATTATTCGATAGAGGTTAACGCGGTTCTGATTAGCATGTGATCCAGTTTTGTTTTACATTCTCTTTTCCTCTTCATTAATAATCTTGATCCACAACATTCATGCGCGTATTTTCGCAAATCTCCTGACTCTCCGTTTCATTTTGCTTTTTCCCCATTTCCCTTGCCTTATCGTAGCATCCTTTCTTATCATCGGCTATTCGTCGTCGAGTGCGTTTACGGGTCCTTTTATAACTTCCTCGCCTTTATCTGCTTCGTTTTTTTTTTTTTTTTGGTACAAGCAACATGATTAACACGACAAAATAAGCGTCATTGCTTACAGGGATTATTTGGAGGTCATTGATGAGGATTCAGGTTTGGGGTGGGAAGGAGGTAGTAGCTGGAAACAAGGTATAAACGACCCTGAGAGAGATGGAAAGGAAGTTCCACTTCTCGGAGCTCTTTCAACCCTGCGGCGACGTCTGCGGCGAGATTTCAGTGTCGCCATCGCCCGAGCCTGGTTCCCCTTTCGTCTTGTTCTCCTTCTTCCACTTCATCCGTCTGTTTTGAAACCAGATCTTTATCTGCCGTTCCGTCAGACATAGCGCGTGTGCGATCTCGATACGTCGCCGTCTAGTGAGATATCGGTTGAAATGAAATTCTTTTTCCAGTTCTAACGTTTGGTATCGTGTATATGTTTGCCGGCCTCTTTTCCTCTCTGGAACAAAACAAATTAAGATAGCCAATTAGCATGAATTGTTGCATATTTCAGAATTATTATAGACATGTAGCATTAGCATATCTGTGCGTCGACCTCTAAGAAGGAGTTTTTGTAAAACCTTCAATGAAACGAAAATATCTCCGCGACTGAAAAAAAAATCTTGCAATCCTAAGTGCAGTTCCGCATATGATAGATACCTTAACGATATCCGCGATATGATCTGCGGTCGGCGCGGTACACGAATCCCGAACAAGAATATTAATTATGGTTGCCAAGAGAACGAGAGAGAGAGAGAGAAAGAGGCAGTAGAGACGGAGGGAGGTAGTAAAGAGACAGAGTGAGTTGAGTCTGTGTGAGAAGTCTCACAACTTTACAAGGTATAAACCGCAAAGGGTTAGCCTGGCATATACGAGTGTGAGGGAGAGAGAGCAAAACAAGAATGTTTCAGAATGGAGAAGGGAAAAAGGAAGAGAGGCGGCGTAAGGATGAGAACTTGAAAGTAAGGAGGGGAGAGGTGAAGAAGAAGAAGAAGAAGAAGAAGAAAACTCTCCTTGGCGAGCATTCGAGGCAAACGCCGCCCGTCGCGCTGTCGGCCGATGAAGATGGATGGCGGTTCTGCTCCGGAGAGAGATGGAGAGATCGCGTAGGTTCCTGAAACCTTCGACTAGACGAAGAAGAAAGGATAGGGAGGAAGAGAAAAAACGGCGCGTTAGAAAAAGAGAGAGAAAGAAAGGAGAGAGAGGATATAGAGAAAGTTGGGAAGAACATGCCCTCTTATTCTCTCCCTTGGGCTACGCTCTCAAATTAACAACATACCAATCTCTAGCGCTCTCTTATAAGCTTTAACGATTTAGGCAACTTTTTTGGCTCTGCTGTTTTAAGAAAGTAGTCATTTACTATTCCGCCAGAAAAATATAATAAATATTATAAAGAAGCGATTATGTAAATATGTGTGCGTATCACGCGATCTGTTATATAAATATGGATAATGATAAGTGTTATATTCTCACACAAGCACTTTTTATGGAATCGTGTATATTACACGAGTAAAATATTATCATTGTTAACTGTCAAGCGTACGCTGTCGACTGTTCTATGAAAGCTGCATCGTATTAATATTCATTCGTCACACCGTTAATGAAGATCATGTTCTAGATCTAAAGCTAAATCATCAAAGCGTCCGAGAAATATATGGGACATGTTCAAGTTGACTGCACTAATATACATCCAGAAAATCCCGATCTATTTATAAATTATTTGTGTAGATTTATTTATAATATTGTAGTCATACTCTGTAAAGAAATAAGCCGTATCTAGTAACTTGAATAGTATTTATTTAAAGAAAGCGATTAAAAGTAGAAAATATACTTGTCAAAATTACTTTTAAAATTTCAAACTTTTACATATTTTATTGAATTTATATATTCTAAAAACACATTAAGTAATATTAAAATTTTGAAAATGTAGATAGTCGCCATATATAAATAACTATACATTATTTTGAAATCGTTGTCAAAAAATTTGAGGAACACGATAGATATTTTTATTTAAAATTAATTTATCTGAAATACACACACGACCCCACGATCATTTCAAATAAAGATAATCCTGAGCCGACGCGGCGTAATAATCAGGTTTGTTTCGAAAGGTCATTTCGCCCATAAATCCTCTCATGCCACTAGATGTTGCAGAGTAAAGAAATGAATTATTAAACGTTGCATCGAGTCTGTATTATTTATGAACTGAGACCTATAGAGTGCTTCCAAGCCGATCGATTTGAAAAACTCAAATCTCGATTAGGCATATCCGACTATGAAAATTAGGTGGCGATATTGTGAGCGTAAGATTTTTTGATGTTGAAGCATGCAAAGTTAATTAAAGAGACAGCAATATCCCATGTTCTTGAGTGCGTACACAGATATGATTGTATGCGTGTGAAACCGAATACACGCATGATCACGCTGATACTGCATATCGCGAGATCAAAAATTCGCCCAGTAAAAATACATCTGTATGCTGTTTACATAAATTTTAATCTTCGATTATATCATTTTATAAAAAACGAGGAAAGATTCCGTCTTTTATTATTCCATACGCATAACTATTTTTTTGTATATTCCCATATCTTACTTATTATCTTACTAAAGTAGATAAACAAGATCCAGTTTTTTTTCTTTCTCTCTCGAAACAATGTTAGCATCGCGAAGCGTCGCATTAACAGTGTTGTCTCGCAATAATGCAAATTCGACTCGAACGGGGTATCTCTGAGGTATTGTGTGACGCACACATGGGTTCTGATAATAAGAAAATCGTACCGATGACCTAAGTTTGCGTCGGACCCGGCGTAACCAGCGCTGCCACGGCTTTCGCGGACGGAGGTGACTTTAAACGCGGGGCAATAAATTAACGGCGTTGGGTTACGCAAGGATCAAATGTCCCCTGGAGTATGCCCGGGAGATTTATGGGTCTGCCTTCACTGGCGCAGCATGAAGGAACGAAACAGAACAGAACGTACACAACCATGCGGCTTATTATAGGCTAGTTGCTCCGCATCTCCACTTCCCTTCCCTCTTATACCAAGACTGGTCTTTCAGGCCCGCCGCAGGATACACGCAGGACTTTTCAGATTAACAGCTAGCCGGATGTTGTAACCCGCTAATAAGGTGCGGCCACCACTCGCTGCCCAATTAAGCTAAGCTTTACGTGGGCACCGTAAGAGACCAGACCTTGAAACGCTCTTCGATTAGATACCCCAGATGTACCCATTAATTTTATCATTCGCTCGCGGTATGAGCCTTGGATTATATTTACGCCGTTGACAGACATCCATATTAATTGCGCGAGATCCTTATAGATCTCGTCTAAATATTTTCTTGGATAAATTCTCAGAGAGATGCACAAAGCCGGCATTTAAAATCTCGTTCGTTATATTGCAGTTTTTCAATTTTTTTTTTATACGAAAAATACTATTTTGAAGTATTGTAAAATCAAATATAATGTAAAAAAAAAGAGAAAGTATATTCTTAATAATTTCTATAAATTAGTGCAATATAATAATAAAAAAAAAATAATAAAAAACTGTTCTAATTATGGATTTTAAGTCAATCTACAATAAATCTAAGCGTTGATATTCAATATATATATTTTACCTTGCATCTAGATGTGCATTTATTTATTCACAATCAGTATAATTTTAACATCGATGTAATGTAGCACAATTCGAATATCTCGATCGAATTGAGATTGAATTTACAAAAGTCAGCGAAAAAGAAAAGTTTTCCTTTCCGTCCGCTAACATTCATAGAAGGAATTTAGAAATTCCCAACGAGAGAAATCAGAATATCTAATAGGCGGTTTTCCTTCCTTCCTTGCTTTTTTTTCGTCTTCCAGACAGACGAGCAGACAGTCGGACAAGAAGACGGAGTCTGAAAGAGCCCCGAGGTAGAAGGTCGAGATAATGAGCAGCGAGAATGGCTCGCCGCGACATATGCATCCTTACGGGGGTATCACTTGGAACATTAAAATTTACTTTTTCTCGCACCTGCTTCTCCAGATAAGAACAGTATGGCCGTCTCGTAAAACTCAAGATCAAATCGTAAGAAATGGAGAAAATTTTACTTTAGAGAAAAACCAGAATTATAATTATTAAGTATTAAATGAACACGAATAAATTAAATCGATAAAATAAAGATAATTTTATTTTCCGGGAGCTTGAATTTTAGCCAGACATCGAATAGAAAATTAAACCACGACCTCCATATCGTTCACAATTGCCTCCATGGCGGAGCTCCAAAAGCAAACGGTCCCAGGATTTCTGTGGATTCATTCATCATCATCATCCGTCCCTTCCACCTCCTCCTACCCGCCTCTCCGTCTCGTACAAACACAAACATATACTTGTACGTGCGTGAACGCACATACACACACATGCACATGTTTTCTTGTCTTCTACTTTTTTTTAGCTCCTCCTTTCCTGCCCCTTTTGAACTCCATCGCTTTTCGAATATCTCACGAAGCCGCCATCATTATGGCCACCAATCTCGTGAACGGCTAGTTAGATTATAATAAAATGCATTTCATATTCAGATTGCCTTTTTGTCCGACATGCTCTATCTGAATCTGCTAATTCGTTTTCCAAATGACTACAAACTTTATATATACTTGATTAAACGTGCATTAAATATTATTTGTTCTTTAATCACACTTTATGAAATATTTTTACATGATTTTGAACTTGTCTGTGTGTATATTTATATATAAAATATTTTTGTTCGCAACTTGATATTAATAAATCCTATTTGATATAAATTCAATATTAATTATATTTTTTTATTATTAATAATAAAGTGTGTAAGAAAACACAAGAGATGTTTTATGACATTAGAAAAACTGTTAATTTAATTGGATTTTCTTACTATCTTTTGCCAATAACATATGTTGCGTGTTGCGCCAATTTATTTGCAATATTTATTTTCTAAACTTTGTCTCAGAATACAAGCGTGCAGTAACGGAAGTTTTACACGTACATAACTGTGTCACGACATGCTTATTTGCCGATTGAGAATACACGAAGGCAGGAGAGAAAGAGCGAGGATGTCATAAATCTTTTCGCACAGAGGATTGCAATTATCTCATGTATTAAAAGCATCGCCGGTATCGATGCTCGATCTCTTTTTCCTTGGGACAACACTTGGAACCGGAATGCTTAACGTTACAAAGTATCACGATCGTTGTTTTAAGATGAAAAGAATATGTATAAAGAAATTTTCGAATTTTAACAAAAATTTACATATAGTAATATTTTTGTACAATTGTTTTTCTATTTAAAAAAAGCTTTAAAAAATCATTAAACTGAGTTGTTATAATTTTCTCTGTAAAATAATTCTAGCAAAACTCTGATGCAAAAATACAACAAAATGAAGAAAATTCCTATCGTGCAATATGTACTCGCAACAATGTTTCGAGATCTTTGGCACTAACGTAAGCAAGAATCCATGCACAGACACACATTCGTCATTTTACACTTTCTGATATAACTTACTACCTATATTATAATTTCTTAGCTTGTGTAACACGTTTTATAGAAGATGCCAAAAAATTTAGATGATTTCGCTAAATAAATGTTTCAACGGCACTTGCGTTTATAAAATAAACTATGCATAATTCATGAATATCTAATTATAGTATGTTTAGCTCAGATTGCTTTTTATACAAAAAACATGTGATTTTAATTAAATATATAAAAATATTTATTCTACTGTCTCTCCCATGATTCTCAACACTTCTAAAATATTAATTCCATGTTAAAATTTAAAAATAACAAAACACATAAAGGAAATTTTAAAAGCATGTAAAAAAATCTTGAAAATGGCAAAATTAATTTTATAACAATAAGATAAGAGAACAAAACACGGAGCATTCTTAAACGTGCCGACATCTGTGAGCATATTCAGGGACTCGGACCTGTTTCTTCGTTTAACTGGTAGTAAACTTCGAGCCACGGCATCGTCATAACCGTACTGTTTATCGGCCTATCCTGGAGCAGATACTTGGGATAAGCTTCTGAACTAAACCGAAAGATGGTACGAGCAATCATTGACAGAACAAAATATATACTTGCGAATAAAAAGATCGAATATAAAAGATTTTAAACAAATAAAAAATAATAATTATAATGGAAAAATTTTCGAAAGATAAAATATCAATAATTAATTTTTAATATTTTTTCTTAATTAATATTATATCATTTTTCTCAATAACACAAATAATGCTTAATTAATCCGATTTTCCAACGCACGCTCCAAAAATACGTGTAAAACAGAAAAGTAGTAATTAATAAAACTAAGAAATATAATCAGCTTAATCGAGTCAGTTTAAATATCTGATCGTGTTGACACATGTACATATACCTTTAATGACTTTCTTGTTTTTGAAACATAATTCGTAAACGTAATCACATACATAAAAATTAATCACACATTAAAAACTTCATCACCTTTAAAAATATGATTACACTTAATCTCATGTTGAAAAATTTATTACGAATTTCGAATGCTTGATCTGTACTTAATCCATACTCAAAGATACAGAAAGAAACTGCTTCTACGAGAAACCACGAGCGACTGAATAGCAAGAAAAAAAATAAGAGTGGTTCACCATAGTTTCTTCTCAGGCGGGAACAACCTTGCTGGATTAGGTAATATAAAGACATCGCTTTTCCAGTATTGGAAACCATCAATCAATGAGGAAACGAGAGGTGAAGAATCAGCAGGATTCCACAACTTGTTTACAACTGTCTACATCTGACATTTTTTACTTAAGTGGCGGTGTAACCCTATTGTCACTTCATCATTATCACTATGAATAGTCCTAAAAGTGTTGAGTACCATGAAAATACGCTGAAAGATTTGTCAAACTATTCTCAAAAACCAATTATGAACAATTTGTGTGTTTCAAAATCAAAGCTAGTACATTATTTAATTGTACAAATCTCTGTATATTGACGCACGCGTGAAACGAGAAACGTATAATAATTCTAAAATAATTCTGATATAAAAAAAAAATATTAAATTTGCTGCCTAATAATATATCGAACATCGTGACGACAAAAAGGTACAACGTAAAGGTATCGAATGAATGCCTCGATGAAGTGCATTTTTAAATATAATTACATTTTTAAAAGCGATTAAATTTTTAATGTAATTAATTTTTTATGTAAAATTGCATTTATAAGTTATGTCTCAAAAACAAGAAAATAATTAAAGATATGTTTATGCATATGTGTTAATAGGATCAAATATTAAAACTAACTCCTATTTCTTATAAATTGTATTTATATAAGAGACATCTCGCTCTATGTATATTTATAAGAAATTTTTTATAAATAGTTTTTATAAGTTACGACTTTTCTGTTTCATACAGAAATGAATCGATGAGATAAGCTATGAATAAAAATAAATTATGTTACAAATAAAAACGGATACACGTTGACTTTTGTGATCTCAAGCGGCAATGACGACGCGTAGAAAAAAAAAGATAATGCTTATTGTGACCTGATAAACGAGCGGAAATCAGTAGACAAGCTCAAAAAGCCAGCGCAATAAATAACTCGGCTCGCGATGTATCTAGAGACATTGTGCCAATTCTGAACCGGTTGCCGTACGAATTTGGTCTAGTTTTGTGCGGCGTTGCATAAATTCAAAAGTCGACCACCCGCTACCTGAAAAGCCTTAGCTCTTTATAAGACCTCCTTCGGTCACGCATCGAATGAAACCTTTATTCTACTCTTCTGCGTTATGCAGTTATGCATTTAACAGAAGCAAATGCCGCATAAAAAACACTTTAAAAAAAATAAATTTTGATATATTTTATTGAAATTAAGTGTGTATATTATGTAATTGTGAGAGAGAGAGAGGGCTGGAATTTGACGAAGCGTCTCGCACGACTTTCCTACTCGAGTGTCGCCGCGCGAATGATAGTAGAGTCAAGGCACATAAACAATAAACACTCTAATGTTTACGCCGCCAAGGCCGAATACCACGTTATTATTGATAATACGTTGTCGAAATATTACACATGCTATAACAAATTGTATATATATATATAT